TCAGGCAATCCACTCACCTCAACCTCCCAAAGGTGCCGGATTACAGGCTGAGCCACCGAGCCCGGCTTGCCTTCATTTCTTAATCCTCTTATTACTGGTAAGTGTCTTATTAAGGTATCGGAAGAATGAGAATACAGTAGAAGGGAGGAACTAGAAAAGCAAAGTGATAGGAGGCCAAAGGCAAAGCTAACTCAGTAACTTCCGTCTCTCCAAGGACTTTGCCTCTAAATGCCTAGTATTAGCCTGGAATTGACCCACGGGAACACCAGTGCTCAGGGAGGGTCTGAATTTCTCCTTCTGGGCAAGTTGGTTCTTCACGCTCCAAATGTAAGTGGGTTCTTTGGCCTTCAGCCTAAACTGTGCACTAAAGTTTGTTCTGAGTTGAATTCTGTGGCATTTAGAAATTTTTTTTTTTTTTTTTAGATTCGGGGTCTCACTCTATCATCCAGGCTGGAGTACAGTGGTTGTGATTGTAGCTCACAGAAACCTTGAAGTCCTGGGCTCAAGGGATCCTCCCACCTCAGCCTTCCAAGTAGCTGGGACTACAGGCGCGTGCTACCACACCTGGCTGATTTTTAAATTTTTTGTAGAGAAAAGGAACTCTCTGTGTAGTCCAGGTTTTCTTGAATTCCTGGTTTCAAGTGATCCTCCAGCCTTGGCCCCCTGAGTCATTGGGATTACAAGCATGAGCTATTGTGCCCGGCTATAGAAACGTTTTTAAATGATACACAGGAAATTGATGAGAAAGAACATTCTGGGAAACAACCCTCATGCTGAATTTAACAGGGTAGCTTAATCTTCAAACGGAAATTGAACAGTTTCAAATAGCAAAACTACTGCCATTGGTTCAGAAAAACTGGTCGAAACAATTCACTTTCCCACATTTCATTCATTCAAAGGCAACCTGATTGTGTAACTTCCCAAGCACCAGGCTTCACCTCTAATATTCAGGCCCCTCTGACTTTCTTCTGTAGGTGAATTCATCACGCCCTTTTCACCCTGAGAACATTCCTATTCCTTAAGATCAGGATGTTGACAACTCCCAGAAGACCCGAAGACTAGACTACTGGGGTGAAGAAGGAAGTCCCTAGAATATTTTGAAGATTTTTCCAGGAATAAAAGTCATAATGTTAATTTCTTTTGCAGGGGGGTAGGAATCTCACTCTGTCACCCAGGCTGGAGTGCAGTAACATGCTCACGGCCACCACACCCTCGACTTGCTGGGCTCGGGTGATCCTTCTGCCTTAGACTTCTGAGTAGCTGGAACCACAGGTGCACGCCACCATGCCCAGCTGGTCTGTAAATTATTGTAGAGACACGGTCTCGCCAAGTTACCCAGGCTGGTGTAGAACCCCTAGACTCAGGCAATCCTTTCGCTTCTGCCTCCCAAAGTGCTGGGAACACAGGGCACCACCAGGACAGTGGCATGATTTCTGGCCTGAAGCCATGGATGAATTTCCTTATCCACAACCCCTGGATCCCAACATTGTACCAAAATTGTCCATACATGTACATTTTTTTTTGAGTCAGGGTCTCACTCTGCTGCCCAGGCTTTAGTACAGTGGCACAACTATGGCTCAACACAGACCTCCTGGGCTCAGGCAATCCTTCTGCTTCAGCCTCCCAAGTATCTGGAAATACAGGCATGCGCCACTACTCCCAGCTTATTTTTCTGATTTTTTTTATAGAGACAAAGTCTCGCTAAGCAGCCTAGGCTGGTCTCGAATTCCTGGGCTCACCTTGGCTTTCCAAAGTGCCAGGATTACAGGCATGAGCCATTGAGCCAGGCCTACATGTGCATTTTTATGCAATGAGAAATCATAACCTTCACTAACCACTCAAAAGAGTTCAGTGATTCGAGAAAGGTTAAGTAAGCTAGAAAGAGATAAGAAAGCCTGGTGCCGAGTACCGATGCCCATATCTGTATTTCATAAATCTACCACCACTGCTGTTTACCCTCACCCACTCACCCTGACCCAGACCCCGACCCCGACCCAGAAGAAAAAGGCCCCAAATCAGCCCTTCAGGTCACTTCCTGAATAAGCGATGGCTTGGAAAAAAAATCTTTAATGGAATCTGTGCTCAAATAAAATGTTACAACAAAAATATACAGAATGTACACAATACAAAAATACTTAGAAACCAACATTGCAGTTTGTGTTTTGTTTTTTCCACCTACTCAAGTCCTCAGAAGGGCAGTTCACTGTTGGGCACTGTTTTTAAGGCAGAGGAGATCTGGTGCTTTCCAGCCAGCACTGGGAGCAACATGAATGATGCCATGAAAGGGCTTCCATTGCACTTGGAGACTCTGCATTATGGATTTGCAAATTAAATTGGACGCTGGGGGAAGATCCCGCTTGGTGAGTGAGGTTCCCCTAATCCTCTGGGCAAGAATGGTTCTCATGGAAATTGAGAGTCCTATTAGCTGGAAAAGAACCTCATTAGGGAGGTTTTTCTAATTAAAAAAGGAATGATGAATGGTGTCATTAAAGGAAAATTTCTCCTTTGAAGGTTTGTTTTCTCTTCCCCAGTTTCTATGATTCTTCTAATGAGCGCAATGAGTCTACGGCTGCTGTTTGGGGATTCCCCAGCTTTCAATTTCTGTATCCTGTGGATAGAAGGCCCGCCTCCACCAGTCTGAAGATTCCTGCCACCCTCCTGGCTGGAAGCCAGCTTGGACAAGGAAGGAGGGCAGGAGTGGAGAGCCTGACCAGTCTTGGTGATGGAAAAGGAACCCGCTGAGGAGAAAGCCAGACTCCAAAAAAGTAAACCTTTCTGACCAGATAGCTGTCTCCTGGCCCTGGGTATAGGCCTGGGTCATGTGAAGTGACTCTGTTGACCCCACTCTGTGGCCCTGCTTGAAGAGGGTGGTGGAGGTGGTGTGCTGACAGGAAGTGGCTGGGGCTAGTGGCGTGAGGTGTTAAGTCTGGAAGACAGCCTTAGCAAGGTGGCAAATGCGATTTTGCCTCAGATAGTCCTTTTCTCAGCAACAATTTTCCATCCAAAGCCCTGAGGGAACTGGGTACTTCTCTGAGGGCTTTCTAGAGTCTTACACTTCATTGCCTTCTCACCCCAAGAGAGGAAGACCTCTCAAAGACTGGGCCAGACAAAGACAGGGTTATACTCTGCTGGCTCCATCCACATCCCAAGAGCCCCAGATGCCAGGACAAGAATCTAGAGGGGAGTCTCTGTCTCTACAGGAAGGGAGAACACTGCACAGGCATAGCCGTGGCTGCAGCCAGGGCAGAGGCAGCAAGGTGCTAGCTCCTTCTCCATCCGTACCCACATCTTCCCAGCCCCCAGCTCCAAGGTCTCAGAGCCTCCTCTCCTAAAAAGCTGGCTCTTCCAACTGCATCACTCACTAGGACAGAGAAGGGCAGGCAGAGCACAGCAAGATGCCCTGGGCTTATGCAACCCTGCCAGAGGTGTGGCCTCAGGCTGCCAGTCCTCAGCACAGCATTGGCACAAGGGAAGCAGGACCTTAGGAGCCATATGTGGGAAGCTGGGCAATCTGTTTAGCACTGGGCAAAGATGGGAAGGGCTTGGCCTAGCCCCAAGGTGAGTGGTGTGTCCCTGGGTAGGAAGACCCTATTTACATGTAGTCACTGGGACAGAAAGAGCCCAAATGCCTAGCCTGGCTGACTCTGGACTCTGCCTGGGCACGAGGCTGGTGGAGGACAGTTGCCACACTCCTGTCCTTGTTCTTGCACAGACCCAGCCCGTCTGCCTCTCAGGCCTGGGGTTCTTTGTCCTTCTAAGCTATCAGGAGCTGGGAGTTCAAAGAGGAATAACACACATTGTCAAAGGTCATCCTCCTCACACTCTCCACTCGGGGTCTGCATCAGCTTCTGCTAGGGGGTTATTTCTATGACTTTGTTTTCCTATCTGTGAAATGGGTGGGGTGGACTTGATGGTCATCTCCAAGTTTTTGAGTTGGAGTCTCACTCTGTCGTCCAGGTTGGAGTGCAGTGGCATGAGCATGGCTATCGTAGCCTTGACCTGCTGGGCTCAGGCAATCCTTCCGCCTCAGCCTTCCAAATAGCTGGAACCACAGGCATGTGCCACCATGCCCAGCTAATTTTCGATTTATTGTAGAGGCAAGGTCTTACCAAGTTGCCCAGGCTGGTCTTGAACCTCTGGGCTCAGGCAATCCTCTCACCTCCATCTCCCAAAGTGCTGGGATTACAGGCATGAGCCACTGCGCCCAGTTGTTCTCTCATTTCCAAGCCTCCGAGTCTACTGGCTGCTGTCACCTCTGACACGCACCCAACAAGTTTTCCACCTAAACTAAAATTCCTCTTACTGAGCCTCCAGTCCCCCCAGCTCAAATGGACACATGGCCTCAATATTCCTACCCCAGCTTCTCTTGCACTCCTCAAAACTCCTTCTCTCCTAAGGGAAACAGAACAGAACACTTTTGGCTATGAAGGCCATCCCATAGGGAAAGAGGGACAGAACCTGGCAAAGGTGAGGAAAACCTCAGCATCCCAAGGGTCTTTGGAATGGCCCCAAGATGTCTCTCCAGTATTGACATTTGTCCCGATGGACAGTGATGCTCAGGGAGGTGCCTGGAATGGACAGGAGATGGGAAAGAAAGGGGCAAACTTTGCTAAAAGCAAGGACCCTCAGCCACTACGGCACACCACATTCTCCCATCCCTTGGCAACTTCTTCTCTCTCATGACCTCCCCCACGCAGCCCACCGCCCCCATCCTGCTTCCTCTGCAGGTTCTGACTTGCCTCACATTGTCTTTTCCATCACACACACACACACACACACACACACACATACAAACACACACACACACACACACACACACACATCAAAACAATCCTTCCAAAACCAAAGGAGAGGCAGAGTAGGGTCAGGGCAGTGGAAGGAAAGATAAACACCCCCAAACAAGGCAGGGCATGGAGGCTAGGGTCCTGGTGTGAGATGTCAACATTCAGGAAGACAAGGAAGGAGGAGTTCAAAGTTAGTCATGGGTCTTCTTCTCTAGGTTAGAACTTGGGAAGAAGTTTATTGCCCCCTGCTTGGGTCCCTCTCAATGGGCACCCCTAGGGCAAAAGTGGGGCCTGGAGCCCACAGCATCTGCCCAGCCCAGGCACTAGAGGCTCTGCTCCAGTGTTCACTGACAGGCACAGGAGTGCACTCTGGTCTTACCCAGGGCAGGGTCGACATGTCCATCATAGGCCCTCTTCTCACCCCAGCTCCAGACCCAGCAGCTATAGAGGGGACACTGGCCTGCAATCTCTGGACTGGAGAAGGGCCTGCCTGGCTTTGACAACCCTCAGGTCTTCCCACGTCTCTTAGGGTCTCTTAGGGTCTCTCAGGGTCTCTCAGGGTAGAGGATGACGGAGAAGCTTCTGCTCACTCTGTGGCAGCGAAAGGAGATGCCTGACTACATGGACCAAGCCCCACACAGGGGGATGGCACCCCAGGACTTCACCCTGGCCAGATGTCATCAGAACAGCCTAAAACATGAAAGCAGCTACATTAGACTCCTCCGCCAGGTGCTATTCAGGAAAGGGCCTCCACTGTCTGTTCAAATCTAAGCACAGCTATTACAGCAGCCAGAGTCTTCTGTCCTTGCCCGCCCGGTCCCACTGAGCTGCTGATGAGAAAAAAGAATGCAGATGCTCCCTTTGGACGATGCTTTTTCCTCCCCTCCCCCATCTCGGGCCCCAGCCCTCAGGGGGGAGGTGGCAGCTTCAAATCCAGCAGGGTGTAGGCAAAGATGTTCCAGAAGACGGCAAACAGCACAAACACGGTGTACATGGCCACAAAAATCCACCACAGCGACTGGTCCTGCAGCCTCTGCTCGTAGTTCCTCAGGACCACCACGCCCAGGGTGATGCCCACGGCCACGCCACCCAAGTGCGCCACGAAGCTTGGGTGAGGGCACGGGGGATAAGCCGACGGGTGGAAGCGGAGCCACACTGCCCGCCCAAACTCCATGCTCACTGCAAGGAGAGGAAGCAGAGAGAAGTCACTGGAGGCCCCTAGGCAGGGGCTGAGGGAGAGGCCTGCACGCCACCCACTCGCCTGGCCACCCATGCGTTCCTTCTCTGTCTCTGAGGCCAAGGACTGTTGTCTGCACTGGAGATATGGTGATGAAGAAGACGAACCTCCATTCTCCCAGAGTATAGGGGGTCTGGCAATGAACTGGTAAACAGCAGCATGCATGCAGTAATTTCAGGAAGAGACACATCCATGGGGATGTAAAATCAGTACCAATCTTTAGTTTGAGGGTCAGGCAAGACCTCCCTAAAAAGGCAGCATTTGAGCTGAGATCTGAATATTGACAGGCCTCGTCACGAGAAGACTCTGAGAAGAGCGTTCCAGGCAGAGAGGACAGCTCGTGTAGAAGCCCCAAAGCCCTCAAACCTCAGTTTCCTCATCTGTCTATCCATATAAAGTCTCAGCCTCTAAGTACCAAGGCTGCACCGGTCAAACATTGACAACTTCAGTATGGGCCCAGCACTTTACAGCATGTAAAGTGTTTTTATATACTATCTCAAAATCCTCAAAAACTCCCAGAGCCAGTGCTTTTGTTGTCAGAAGGTACGGACAGAGGGAGAGAAAGGTCAAAAAAGGAATGGAAGTAATGCGAACTCTACCCTTAGCCCCAACACACTGCTGCAATTGACTACTCCTTAACAGATTCTAAACTGGCTCCATCCCGATCTCTAACCCACACTTCTTGTGTGAGCTACTTGAGTTGGTCAATCAAATGCGGATGAGTCTCTTGAAAGGATGGGTGCTAAGAACCTGGACCATCTCATCATCTACCACCTAAAGAATACCTAGGGTAGGCATTCTTATTCCCATTTTACAGATGAGGAAACCAGGGCAAATTTGACAGATTGAAAGATAGCCCTCTGAGGAGAATGTTGTACTTGTCCAGCTCCCATTTAATTAGCCAGTGTACTCTATCCACCCTCACCACTCCAGGGAGCCAGAACCTCCAGGGACCTTCCTTCCCATGGGGATTGCCCAGCCTTCTGGACTGGGCCTGCATCTCTAAGGATGACCGATAGATGGCGGAAAAGGAGCAGCCAGGGACAGCTGATCTGCCCCCCCCCCCCCCCCCCCCCAGCCCAGGCCCTAGGGCATCCTTCTAGCCTTTAACCACCAGGTCCTGGGTTTGATAAAAGAGGTTTGAAAGACAATAGTCTCCAACTCCAAAACAGCATTTCAGTTTTCATGAAGCCTACCTAGGGCTGGATTTTTAAAAACAAGACTCATAGCCGGGTTCAGGGGCTCAGCCTGTAATCCCACGCCTTGGGAGGCTGAGGTGAGTGGATTGCCAGAGCCCCCGGGTTCGAGACCCGCCTGGGCAACTTGGTGAGACCTCATCTCTACAATAAATCAAAAAATTAGCTGGGTGTGGTAGCGCGTGCCTGTAGTTCCAGCTACTTGGAAGGCTGAGGCTGAAGGATCGCTGGAGCCCAGCAGGTTGAGGCTGCAGTGGCCAGGAGCGTGCCAATGCACTCCAGTCTGGGTGACAGAGTGAGATTCCAACTCAAAAAAAACCCAACAGAACAAGACTCATGCTTCTCTTTCCTTCTTCAAAAGCAGACAAACTCAGAGTCTGAGCCAACACAGAAGCTATGCTCACCCCCATCCCACTGCACCCTACTACCCTGATTCAAGGAACCCTCGGGTTTTAAGGCTGGAATGTCTTTCTGGGATTAGAGATTCTCCAACCCCTTCTGGGAAACTGGGATCCAGAGAGCCCCACAGAGGGTCAGGGCAGAATCACTGCCTGAAAGTCATGGGGTCAGAGGCAAGGAAGGAAAAAGTGGACTAAAGTGGGGTCCTCAAGGGCCTAACCCTCCACCCACGTTCTCAGGTGCTCACTGCCCAGCCTGGCTAACATGTAGGGCCTCAGAATCGGCACAGGTTGGCTCTGAATTCTGCTCTATCATCTCTTTTTTTTTTTTTTTTTTTTGAGTTGGAGTCTCACTCGGTCACCCAGACTGGAGTGCAGTGGCTGCTCCCAGCCACCGCAGCCTCGACCTGCTGGGTTCTGGCGATCCTTCCGCCTCAGCCTTCCAAGTAGCTGGAACTACAGGCGTGAGCTACCACGCCCGGTTAATTTTTAATTTTTATTGTAGAGATGAGGTCTCGCCAACTTGCCCAGGCAGGTCGCGAACCCACAGGCTCAGGCAATCCACTCACCTCAGCCTCCCAAAGACGCGGGATTACAGGCTGAGCCACCGAGCCTATCATCTCTTAATGGGGTGAGCTTGGCCGAAGAACTTAATGCTCTGAGCCTGGAGTCTACCTGTGAATTAAGTCTAATAATACTTTCAGCAGGAATGTTCGGAGAACAGATGAGAGAACGTTCTTTCCTCTTCTATCTTCCTGCCTGCACTGCTCTGTTCAGACTCTCTTTCCATCTCAGAAGGAGCCCTTTGGCCTCTGATCTCATCCCCAACCCATTCTCCACTGGTAGCCTGACTGGTTTTCTAAAATTCTGGCTATCCTTCAAAACCTTGTTGAAAGCCCCCCATGAGCCCCAGTGCCTTTAGGGTGAAATACATTTTTTTTCTTAGCATTTAAAGCCCCCTTGATGATCTGACCCTACTATCTCACTAGCTTTATTTCTGACAACAATCACACACGGTTCTCAACCTCATTCCTTAGTTTCACTAAACAGCTCCCTGCCAGGATCCCTCACTCTTTTTTTTTATTTTTATTTTTTTTGAGTTCTCAGTCTGTAACCCCTCGCTCTCCTAAGTCTTTGTCCATGCTGTACCTTTGACTGGAGTGCAGTGGCCACTTCCGGCCACCACAGCCTCAACCTGCTGGGCTCTGGCGATCCTTCCGCCTCAGCCTTCCGAGTAGCCGGAATTACAGGTGCGCACTATCATGTCCGGCTGATTTTTTGATTTATTGTAGAGATGAGGTCTTGCCAAGTTGCCCAGGCGGGTCTCAAACTCGCGGGCTCAGGCATTCCACTCACCTCAGCCTCCCAAGGCGCGGGATTACAGGCTGAGCCACCGAGCCCGACTTGCTTATTTATTTATTTATTTATTTATTTATTTATTTTGAGTTGGAGTTTCACTCTGTCACCCAGGCTGGAGTGTAGAGGCACGTTCACGGCCACTGCAGCTTCGACCTGCTGGGCTCAAGCGATCCTTCTGCCTCAGACTTCCAAGTAGCCGGAACTACAAGCACGTGCCACCGTGCGCAGCTAATTTTGTTATTTATTGTAGAGATGAGATCTCACCAAGTTGCCCAGGCTGGTCTCGAACCCATGGGCTCAGGCAATCCTCTCACCTCGGCCTCCCAAAGTGCTGGGATTATAGGCATGAGCCACCACACCTGGCTGAAAAAAGCATTTAAATAAACGGACAGATAAACAATGAAGAAGGGCTATGAGCAGCGCAGTGGGACAGATTGCTCTCACAACATCTCCACTTTGTTGTCCATTATTGACATGTCCCACTTTTTTTCCTGACCACAAGCCCCTGAAAGGCAGGGACTGTGCCATCTTTGTACTCCAGGGCTTAGTGCCAGGCTGTCTTCCCCCAGCCTGCCCCATTGGTACTTACTACAGATCAATGCCACAGCCATCCGCAGCAGCTTGAATTGGCACTTCATGCCTGACCAGTTCTAGGGAAAAAGGAGAAGTTTTGTTAGTTCCAGATTAGACCACTCCTCTGTAGGTGTATCTTGCTTAAGAAAATCCGACATTAAAAAAAAGTAATCTTGGCTGGACATAGTGGTTCACGCCTGTAAATCTCAGCACTTTGGGAGGCTGAGGTGGGAGGATTGCTTGATCCCAGGAATTTGAGGTCAGCCTAGCCAACATAGCAAGACCTTGTCACTACCAAAAAAAAGAAAAAGAAAAAAAAACCAAGCATGGTGGCATGTGCCTGTAGTCCCAGCTACTCAGGTGGTTGAGGCAGGAATGATTGCCTGAGTCCTGGAGGTCAAGGTTGCCGTGACTCATAATTGTGTCACTGCACTTCAACCTGCAACAGAGTAAGACTTTGACTCAATAATAATAATAATCTCCATGAAATCCTGAATGAAGGGTTTGGAGCTTAATGGCAGAACACACCAACATGACTTTGAGCTTATAGGCAATGGTAAATTTATTCTTGTCAAAAAGCTCTTGAGCTGCACTAACAGGGGAAAGGAATCCAGATCTAGGGAGATGAGAATCCCTGTCTCTTCAACACGGACAGGCAAGATCCAACAGTTGCGTTAATTGCTGGGTTTCAAGACTGCAAAAGGATGCAAGACAGCAAACCAAGCAAAGTTGAAGCAGAGCCATCAGAAGGATAAAATAAATCAAAGTCCTGCATATGAAGAATGCATGAGGAAGCCAGGATCTTTTAGCACAAAGAAGAGAAGACTCTGGAGTCAAGGTCATTGTCAAATAGCAAGTGAGTCAACAAAGAATAGGGCACATCCAAGTCAGTGTAAGTTACAAGCAGATGACTCAATGGATGAAAACTTTGGAGAGAGACTTTTTAGCTCATGGTAAGCTTCCCTTGCTAATAATAATCAGAACTGTCCAGAGATGGAATGATCCTTTGTGGGGGGAGAGAGTGGGGGTCGTGGGTTTCCCATCACTAAAGGTTTCAAACAGGGACTTCACATCACTGGGAGAGGACGCTCTTGAGGAGAACCCGGCATTGGAAGGGGTGGGCCAGATGGCCTTCAAACAACTCCCTCTCCCCTGAGAATCTCTGAAAACTGTGAACCTCCAAAGCAGATAAACAGCACAATTATTCACCTTACAAAAGGATTTCTCACTTTACAAAAGACTTCACTACAGGGTTCCTTTGAGAGGCACTCCTGCAGTGCATTCAAAGCACTATTCCATTTATACGAAGGGCGCACGCACAAACAGAAATGAGCCCAGAATCTTCCTGGAACACATCAGCCCCAGGGAAGGAGGCAGTGGGGCACGGCCGGAGAACTTCTGTTCCCTCTCACCCACCCAATCTGCCTTTGCTGCCTGGCAGCAGCTCGGGGGCACGTCTGGCACTTCTTTGAGGTTGCAGGAACATACGTTAAACTTTACAGAGGCGCCAAACACTGGCACGGACAATAACATCCGTAAAAGCTTCTGTCGAACAAGCAGGACACACAGGAGCTGCCGAAAGGAGGGAGAAACTTTGTGGCATTCGGTTTCTTGCCCACTACCTCCCTTTCTTGTTACTCCTCACTGACCGGCAATCCCTTCTTCTCAGAAGGTGAGGTGGGTAACACGTGGCCCTCTTTAGGTGTAAAATCTAAAGTTTCCTTGCTGACATGTTCTGCACTAAGAAGCAGATGGCAGGATAATGCTATCATCTGCTGCAGTCCGCCCAGCGGACCCTTGCCAGGAGACAAGGAACAAAATGAGAGTCGGTGCCCTCCACTGGGTCTAGCAATCCAATCTGAGCTTCTCTCAATTAGCTGACATTGGGTGGCCCCTCAGCTTCTCTCAGCTTCTCTCCTCAGCTTCTCTCTAGGATGGGAGGAATCTTGAGAATCCCCTGATGGGATGTCTGTTCCCAAAGGGAGCACATACTGTTAAGTAGCCAGCAAGACATCCCTCCAGCCCCTGTGACGGATGTTCAGTACCTCCCTCTGGGCAATCCTGTGACAGGTTCTCACCACCAGAAAGTTCTCCCTGCTATTGTTTGCCAGATGCCTCTCCATAATGTCCACCGATGGGACATTACAGAGACCCACATTCATAGCAGCAGTATTTACAATAGCCAAGAGGTGGAAAGAACCTCTATTAATGGATGAATGGAGAAATAAAACATAATAATATACACACTATGAAATATCATTCAGCCTCAAAAGAAGGAAATCCTGACAGGTGCAACAACACATAAGGACATTATGCCAAATGAAATAAGCCAGTCACAAAAAGACAAATACTGTATGATTCCACTAATATGAGTTTTTTGTTTTGCTTTGTTTTGAGTTGGAGTCTCGCTCTGTCACCCAGGCTGGAGTGTAGTGGCACACTCACAGACACTGCAGCCTCGACCTGCTGGGCTCAGGCAAACCTTTCACCTCAGCCTTCAAAGTAGCTGGAACCACAGGCATGCATGACCACATTATTTCTTGATTTATTGTAGATACAAGGTCTCACCAAGTTGCCCAGACTGGTCTTGAACACCTGAGCTCAGGCAATCCTCTTGCCTCAGCCTCCCAAAGTGCTGGGATTATAGGCTTGAGCCACCACGTCCGGTCAATATGAGGTCCTTAGAGTAGTCAAATCCATAGAGAAGGTAGAATGGTGGTTGCCAGGGGCTGGGGGAGGAGGGAATGGGGATCACTGTTTCATGGGCACAGAGTTTCTGTTTTGCAAGATGAAAAATTTCTGCAACTGATGGTGGTGACAGTTGCACAACAAAGTACAATGTTCTTAATTGCACTGAACTGTACACTTAAAATGTACACTTTAAAAGGTAGTAAATTTTTGGCCAGGCATGGTGGCTCAAGTCTATAATCCCAGCACTTTGGGAGACTGAGGCGAGAGGATTGCCTGAGCCCAGGGGTTTGAGACCAGCCTGGGTAAACTGGCGAGACCTCATCTCGACAATAAATCAGAAAATGAGCCGGGCATGGTAGCGTGCACCTGTAGTTCCAGCTACTTGGAAGGCTGAGGCAGAAGGATCCCCTGAGCTCAGTAGGTCGAGGCTGTGGTGGCCGTGAGCGTGCCACTGTACTCCAGCCTGAGCGACAGAGTGAGATGAGACTCTAAACCGCCCCCTCCAAAAAGATAGTAAAGTTTATGTTATGTGCATTTACCACAATTACAAACAGAAGTGATACAGGATACTTCTAATATCCCTCTTCCTCTTAAAAACCCTCTGAGGCTGGGCATGATGGCTCACACCTGTAATCCCAGTACTTTGGGAGGAGATGAGAAGATTTTCTGAACCCAGGGGTTTAAGACCAGCCTGGGAGCCAGGCTCGGTGGCTCAGCCTGTAATCCTGCGCCTTTGGGAGGCTGAGGTGAGTGAATCGCCTGAGCCCGTGGGTTCGAGACCCGCCTGGGCAACTTGGCGAGACCTCATCTCTACAATAAATCAAAATGAGCCGGGCATGGAAGCGTGAGCCTGTAGTTCCAGCTACTTGGAAGGCTGAGGAGGAAGGATCACCGGAGCCCAGCAGGTCGAGGCTGCGGTGGCCGGGAGCGGCCACTGCACTCCAGTTTGGGCGACAGAGTGAGACTCCAACTCAAAAAAAAAAAAAAAAATCCAGATTCACACAACTAAAGCTGGGTGCTCTGGCTTTGCTATAGTACTACCCAGGCCAGCTTCATGAGTTTACGACCCCTGCCTGGTCCCTAAAACAGTGGAGTTAGCCAACCTGATCCAGCCAATCCCTCTGCCCTGCATCTGAGGGAAGAAGAAACTGAGGATCCGGGAGGGCTACTTTGAGGTCACAGTGAGTGAATGGGGAGTCAACAGGGTGCCCAGTCCAGGGCTCTGTCCACCCCCACTCCAGAGAACAAGTCACGTTCCATCTGCCTGTGCCATCCGTCCTAGCTGCAGCCTCTGCAGTTTGACCTGCTTCCCAGCAGCAGCTGAGGAGTTAAACTATAAAGTCACCCCTTCTCACCAGCTGCCTTGCTTTCCCTATCCACGATTCCTTCCAATAAAATGAGCACACTGAAACGACAGGAGAGCAGAAAAAATCTCCCACACAGGTAGCACGGCTGCTGCTATAAATGTTGAGAAGTCTGCGGGCCCCTGGGGAATACAAACCTTTGGCAGGCCCTTTAATTTCATTCTCTCCCAGAGCCTTGAAGAGTGAGACAGTAACTCACCCGCAGCAAACAAGTCGGTAAACAGTCCCCTCAGCATCTCATTCACCCAACCAGGTAAGAGTTCAGAGGCCGAAACCCAGGTAGGGAGCTTCCATTCCAATACAGCTTTATACATCCCTGGTAGAAACAGTTTCTTGCTGGGCTCGGTGGCTCAGCCTGTAATTCCAGCGCTTTGGGAGGTCAAGGTGAGTGGATTACCTGAGCCCGCGGGTTCGAGACCCGCCCAAGCCACTTTGCGAGACATCATGTCTACAATAAAAAAATCAAAAATTAGCCGGGTGTGGTAGTGCGCGCCTGTAGTTCGGCTACTTGGAAGGCTGAGGCAGAAGGATTGCTGGAGCCCAATAGGTCGAGGCTACAGTGGCTGGGAGTGTGCTACTGCACTCCAGTCTGGGCAATGGAGTGAGACTCCAACTCAAAAAAAAAAAAAAAAGAAACAGTTTTTTGTCAAATGATTTCAAGAAAACCCAACCCAGGAAACGTGACTGCACAACACAGGTAAATTAGGGAGTGACTGTTTGTCTTACAAAAGGATCTTTTACTTAATAAAGTAAACCTTAAGCCGGGCTCGGTGGCTCAGCCTGTAATCCCATGCCTTTGGGAGGCTGAGGTGAGTGGATTGCCTGAGTCCGCGGGTTCGAGACCAGTCTGGGCAGCAAGACCTCATCTCTACAATAAATCAAAAAATCAGCCGGACGTGGTAGCGTATGCCTGTAATTCCGGCTACTTGGAAGGCGGAGGAGGAAGGATCGCCTGAGCCCAGCAGGTCGAGGCTGCGGTGGCCGGGAGCGGCCACTGCACTCCAGTCTGGACAACAGAGTGAGACTCCAACTCAAATAAATAAATAAATAAATAAATAAAGTAAACCTTATAACAGAAATCTTTAGTATATTTTAGACAACAAGCTTTCTTTGTGCTGTGCCGATACAGTTCAATCTGTGAAAATTCAGATCGCAAACATTTTGGGAAAACATCTATTATACAGAGCAAAGTGTAAGTAAATATCTTGTACATATAAAAATGGAACTCTGGCCAGCAGGAGGCCATTAATAAATTATTCAATTAGGTGTATCTTTACATTTCTAGTGTTTAAAATAAGAAGGCTTGATTGTAGGTCTGTTTGCATTTCAGATCTTTTGTTGAAATACTTCCTGAATTTAATTCCTTGATGTAAGCTGCAAGCTTTTTGAAACTCAACGTGTTTTTACGAATAATAAGACATACTTTCATTTAAGGCAGAATCGCTGGGTTAAACAGTCCTGGAAGCAGTAGTGTTCAACCCCTCTCTGTGATGTATATGTGGCAAAAAAGGACACACTTTCTGATTGATCTCTGTATAGATAACAGGCAGAATTGATAGAGATAAAAAGTGACATACACAAATATAAACACATACATGCATACGGACACATGGTACCTCACAGCTGTATGGTGATTTGCCATGTGAAAAGCATCTTCACGTCCACTTTTTCATGTCTTCCTAACAACTTCCTTGTGAAGACAGGATCACAGATGAGACAATCAAGGCCCCAAGAAGTTAAGGGTGACAGACTTACAGCTGTTAAGATGGTGACACTGGTACTCAAACCCAATTTTCTGACTGTCAAGTCCATGATTTTTCTGTCTTTTGTTCTGATGAGGTGTTTATTGCATGTGTGTGTAAGAGTGCATACACACATACACTCCAAATCTTCATTTTGGAATTGAAAACAATCATATATCTATTAGGTTGTACCATATGAAATTGCCACTATTTAAAAGCCTGTGGCCTCCAAAAATGGCACTTTCATATGGGTCAACCCACTGTATCTCTGAATTGCTTGGCACTGAGCTAATTTGAGTACAGGTGGTCTCTTGACAAAGGGACACCGACCTCCCTAGTGAGAAAAATGAGTTTTTTTTCACTGTCGATAGGCACCACACAACTTTTTAGAGAAGCGTTACCTACACATCATGCTCTGGAGATGGCAAAATGCCCAGTTGGCCAGGGAGAGCCATGTGTTTCTGGGAAGGCACTGCACTCTCAGATGGGGTTGCTCATCTCCACAGCCACTGGCCATGGGCCACTTGCCAGAAACAAGTGTACACTGGAACAACACTGTGTCCACACCTCCCTCGAACCCCATGCCCCGCCCCACGGTCCCTGGGTGGTCTGCCCTCACCATGGGAACTTCTGGGGCATCAGGGCTGTTTCCCAGGAGGTGAGGGAAGGGGTGAGAACAGGACATCTTTATGAACTCCCTGCTTGTTTCTTCTTTCCCGTGCTCCCTCTCAGCTGTGCTTGTCATCACCCCTACACATATTCACATCTTGGGCAGAGCGGGAGGGAGAAGGTTAGGTTAGCATTTCTTCCCCTTCCAAAAGGAATTGGGGCAGGGGGAGGGGGAAGGAGGAGGCAGAATTCAGAGGAAAAGCTGTGTCTGGGGAAAGACGTGGCACCGATACAGAATGACCCATTTAATGGGGCCAGGGGAGGCAGCCCATGCGCTAGGGTTTCCAGCAGACTGAACTGCATGAGTGTGTAAACACACCTACACACACACACACACACACACACACACACACACACACACACACACAGAGGCTCTCTGGTCCCACACGTCTCCTGACACCCACAGTCTCTCTCTGAGCATTCGCCTGAAGTTGCTAAAATTCAGGCCAGTAGCAAGCAGAGTGTCTGTCTTTCTCTATCCTCTCCTCTCTTCCTCTCTTTTCTTCTTTCTTCCTTTGTTTTCCTCTCTCCCTCTTGTGTTCTCTCTTCTCTCTCTCAATGAACAGTGGGGATTTTGATGAAAAGAAAAGAGATGGGGTTGGGACCAGGGCAGATGACAGTATGACTGATAAGAAGAAAGACATGGGAGAATTCAGAAACTCCCAAAACTGTGATCACTGAACATTCACACACCTGCTACGTGGGTGAAGACAGTGATGGAGGAGCAGGTGAGAACAGGAGGGCCCCAAAGAGAAGTTATGCCTTTTCTGGACTTCCTTCCCCCTCTCCTTCCTTCCTTCACCAATACCAAGTGGGCATCACGTACCATGGCCAGGCACTGGGGAAACATGAGAAAGATCCAGAGGATCCCAAGCCAGCAGCGGCATCAGGCAGGGTTAGCCAAGCACCACCAGTGACTCCCCCTTCAGACATCAGACTTCCTCCAAAACAAGGACTTTGACATCCTCTAAGACTACTAGATGCATTCCAGTTTCTTGCCTTCAAGATAGACTTAGTCTAGTCTGAGCCCACCCTGGCTTCTTCTGTGAGGAGTAAGGAATTAAGTTAGCATTTATATTAAGTGGTTATTTTCACTTTATCTCACTTATTGCATATCATTCCATTTCACAGATATAGAAACTGAAGTACAAAACACTTAGGTAATTTGCCTAAGGTCACGCTTTAGGAAGTGGGTAGCTGGGATTCAGACCTAGGCTGACTGGCTCCATAGCCTGTGCTCTTCACCACCCCATTATTATGCCTTTTGGGAAAAGACAAGAAGCAAGAGAAATGGAGTGATGAGAGGCTGGTATGGGGGAACAACTCTTGAATGGTGGTTAGGAGATATGAGTTCAAGTTCTGATTTTGTCACAAACTTGACTGTGACTTTCAACAAATCACTTAACCTCATAGAATCTCCTTCTCTACTTGGGAACTGTGATGAGATAATCTCTAAGGTCCCTTTAATTTTAACAGTTTATGAAAATAAGGCCAGGCATAGTGGCTCAAATCTGCAATCCCAGCACTTTGGGAGTCCAAAGTGCCAGGATCATTTGAGGCCATGAGTTTGAGACCAGTCTTGGCAACATAGCAAGACCTTCATCTCTACAAAAATTTTTTTTAAATTTTATTTATTTATATTTATTAACAAAAACAAAGGTGTTTATTATAGGAAGATTCTCAAACCACATTGGAAAAGATGTTCACCCAAGTAGATGAGGATGGAGACCAGCCTTGGAGTAATTTTTCTTTTTTTGAGTTGGAGTCTTACTCTGTCACCCAGGCTGGAGTACAGTGGCACACTCATGGCCACTGCCGCCTCGACCTGCTGGGCTCAGGTGATCCTTCTGCTTCAGCCTTCCAAGTAGCTGGAACTACAGGCATGCACCATCATGCCCAGCTAATTTTTTGATTTATTGTAGAGACAAGGTCTCACCATGTTGCCCAGGCTGGTCTGGAATCTGTGGGCTTAGGCAATTCTTTTGCCTCTGCCTCCCAAAGTGCAGGAATTATAGGCATGAGCCGCCACACCGATTACAAACTTTTTTTTTTTTTTTAGTTGGAGTCTCACTGTTGCCCAGGCTGAAGTGCAGTGGCATGCTTATGGCCACCCCAGCATCAACTCGCTGAGCTCAGGTGATCCTTCTGCCTCAGCCTTCCAAGTAGCCAGAACTACAGGCACACGCTACCATACCCAGCTAATTTTTTGATTTACTGTAGAGATGAGGTCTCGCCAACTTGCCCAGGCTGGTCTTGAACCTGTGGGCTCAGGCAATCCTCTTACCTTGGCCTCCCAAAGTGCTGGGATTACAGGCTTGAGCTACCATGCCCGGCCAAAAATTTTTTTAAAATGAGCCAGGTGTGGCAGTGAGAACCTGCAGTCCTAGCTACCTGGGAGGCTAGGGGGAAAGGATCACTTGAGACTGGGTGTTCAAGGCTGTAGTGAGCTATGACCGCACCACTGCACTCCAGCCTAGGCAACAGAGTAAGAAAAACAAAACAAACAAGCTATGACAAATGAGCAATTCCAATGACCTTGTACACTCGTGGTCAAATTAAAACACTCCAAAGTCACAAAATGGGAAAGACATAGAATAGGAAAATGGTCACATTCCTGGGCCAAGCCGTGAATGGAGAAAACACTAATTGCACATGGAAGGCACCCACCTGAAAAGGGCCTGCAGAGAGTGAGAGTGTGTATGAACTCTGCTCCCAGCCAGGTCTGCCTGGCACTTGACGGGCCTGGGTTGGGCAGCTCCAGTGGATTAATATCGGGCCCAATGATGGCAGAGGAGAGGGCAAGAAAGGGCACACTGTGGACGGGAGGTGCTCACCATGACGATGTTGGCCAGATGAGCAGAGACGAGCGCATACACGCCTCCAGAAGAGCCCACGACTGGCGCAGTCATGTCAGCCACAGACACCGCCAAGGACCCTGGTATAGAAAGACAGTGAGAATTCTCAAATGTGCTGAGCTAGGCTCCCCCAGGCCTTGGGCTCTGCAGCCTTGATGGTAAGACCCCAGGGCAAGAGGCTCCATCTCTTGGAATATGTTACCTTGGAGTTTCCCATGCATTTCTTAGAGGATTAATTTCTGACTGAAAGAACTATTTGATTCAACTTTCTTATTTACAGATGGGAAGTGAAGATGCAAGTAAGAGAAGTTAATCCCAGCGCTTTGGAAGGCTGAGGCAGGAGGACTGCTTGAAGCCAAAGAGTTCAAGACCACCCTGGCCAACATAGTAAGATCCCATTTCTAGAAAAAAAAGGAAGAAATAAAGAAAAAACTTGGCCAGGCATGGTGGCACATGTCTGTAATCCCAACTACTTGGGAGGCTAAGGTTGGAGGATCACTTAAGCTCAGGACTTCTAGGCTACAGTGAGCTATGATTGTGCCATTGCACTTTAGTCTGGGTATAGAACAAGACCTTATCTCTAAAAAACAAATAAAAATAAAGATAAAAAAAGAGAAGGGATGTGGGGAAGTGATTTGTCCAAAGTAGAACTCAGACTATGACCCAGGTCATCTGCCTCTCAACCCACCTCTGCCTAACATTATGCTATCTCAGGGTGCTGGAGCAATGACAAAAATAGTCGTGGTGGTTATCACAGAAACAGCTGCCACTTAGTGGATACCAGGTCACAGACACTGTGTCACCATCTTACATGTATTCTTCCCTCAACCTCAAGACAGCCCTTTGAAGTGGGGGCTAGGAGCCTCATTGCAGAGATGAGGAAACTGAGTCGAATCCCATTTGGAAGTTCTGGATCAGGATCTGAGTTCGGGTCTGCCTGACACAAAACTGTGTTCTTGACCAAAGCCTGTGCTCTTGCTTTTAGAGCAGTCGCTCCCCAAACGGGTCCAGAGGTTGACCTCCACTCCCTACCATCACTGTCGGCTCAGCAGCATCTAGAAACATGTTTGGCGTCACCTCCACCCCTCCTCCAGCTGAGCTAAGTCACAAAAGGCCAACAGGGTCTATTGAGTGGGGTTTCTTTGAAGGAAAAATGTCCTTGAAAAGTCATCCAAAGAGAGACAGAAAGAGGATGATGTCATACCCTCTAGGGGAAAGGAAGGGTACACGATGCCTGGTCTGGGGGATGAGAAACTTTTGTCCTGGGAGGAAAGCTGGGCAGAGAGAAGATGGGAAATTTATTGTTCTGGTCTCATTTGAGAGTAATCAATGCTTTGGCTTCCAGGGAAAGGACACAGGAGACTAAAAATAACTAGGAGGTAGAGCCCAGGGCTCAGAGGCTGAGAGGTGGCTGGCCCGGGTGAGTGTGCAAAAATTACCACTGGAAAATGCCCTCGGGCTCCTGAGCCAATTAGTCGCTGAAGAGGAGGGACAGGCAGCAAGCCAATTCTGCAGGTTCTATCAGGGTGGAGGATCCAGGAGTTAGGAGGAGGTTGGGCCCAGGCCAGGACCCAAAGCATGATGACCCGACATGGAAAGCCCCTGATAACATCACCCACCTCCCCCACCCCACCTCTAACAGGGCCCCTCGGCTCATTGAGATCCTTCAAGAACGAGAGCCCCACAACCAATTCTTAGTCTCAAAGGGGATGTAATCTTTCAGAAAAAACCCAAGCTGTCATGAACCGAGGACTCCCAAGTCCTCCTCCCCTCCCAGGGCAACTATAAATCTTTCATGCCTTCTCTCTGGCTTTAATTAGGTATTGATCTATTGTCAGATAACTTTCTTTTTCTTTTTTTTCTTTACTGCCTAGCCACAGGGTCAGCCATATATAACAGTAGAAAAAAAAAAAAAAATCCCAGGGTGGCAAACAAATAGACACAGGATCTGCATGACAAAGGTTTCCCACGCTCTCCTGGCGGGACCATCTAAGAAGGCTGCATTGCAGGGTTGTGAGGAGGGCTGACTGCCTAAGCTGCTCCTCATTAATTACCTTTTGGACAGAGGAAGCCCCAGCGTAGGCTGGTCTTTCTCCTCCTAGCAGGTCCGTACAAACCGGCCCAGCCTCTGCTCCCTCATCCCTGCCCCAGCATGGTCCACCAGGGCAGAGAGACATCAGGGCTGCTGCAGGCAGGGGAGGGCCCCTGCCTGGGTCAAGCCTGCACACAGTGACCTTTCCCTCACCCTACCCATGGCTCAGAGTTCTGACCCCAGGGTCAGGGGTCAGTTTGGGATTGTGGCAGGAGTATGGAGGGGGGCATGGCTGGTGGGCTGTCCGACCTTGGGCACAACCTCTGAATTCTTTGGGCTTCGGTTTTCACATCTGTGAAATGAGGAGGTCTTAGGCTTTCCAACATGTGAGCAACGAAACCCTCTTCTCAAAGGAAACCTCTCCGGGATGCCCTGACCCATGAGCAGAGCATAGATGGTTGTGTGGAGATAAGGCCTGGAGGGCTACATGCCATCCACTGGCAGGACCTCCAGGGTTCCTTCCAGATCAGAAATTCAGTGATCCAAGTCCAGGGACTGAGGCTCAGATCCTGGTTCTGTCACAAGCCAAGGCTCTGGCAACAGGGGTTTCTTAAATCTCTTGTATTTGATTCTAAGTTGTTTATTTAAATTTAGCAAGGTAGGCTGGGCTCAGTGGCTCAGCCTGTAGTCCCAGCACTTTGGGAGGCCGAGGCAAGTGGATTGCTTGAGCCCACGGATTCAAGACGAGCCTGGACAACTTGGTGAGATCTCGTCTCTACAAAAAATCAAAAATTAGCAGGGCATGGTAGTCCGCACCTGTAATTCCAGCTACCTGGAAGGCTAAGGTGGAAGGATTACAGGAGCCCAGCAGATCAATGCTGGGGTGGCCATGAGTATTCCACTGCACTCTAACCTGTGCGACGGAGTGAGACTCTGACTCAAAAAAAAAAATGAAGCAAGGTAGCTTCTTTGATTGTTGTAACTTTCCAACCTCCCTTAAGCAACTGATTAGAGCCGGGCTCGGTGGCTTAGCCTGTAATCTCACGCTTTGGGAGGCTGAGGTAAGTGGATTGCCTGAGCCCGCGGGTTCAAGACCGGCCTGGGCAACTTGGCGAGACCTCATCTCTACAATAAATCAAAAATTAGCCAGGCGTGGTAGCGCGCCCCTGTAGTTCTGGCTACTTGGAAGGCTGAGGCAGAAGGATCGCTGGAACCCAGCAGGTCGAGGCTGTGGTGGCCGGGAGCGGCCACTGCACTCCAGTCTGGGCGATGGAGTGAGACTTCAACTCAAAAAAAAAAAAAAAGAAAAGAAACTGATTAGATTTGGGGTCGAGCCAAAACTGCCCACAGTCCTTCTTAATTCAATCTTGGGAGGTTAAAGGGATTAGGAGACCTTGAGTCATGCCTTTGTTAATTCAGTCTGGTGGGTGGGTGAGGGCCTACAGAGTATAAACTCTCAGCATGTTGTACTGTCAGGGAGAGAGTTCTTTTGGGTGAATACACTGACTCCCTCCCTGATTCCATGACACCAGATTAAACACCCACTTCTCCCAGTTTCTGCCTCTCATCTTGATCAGCTATGAAGGATAGCAGCTGATTTATTGGATCGACCCATAAACGTTCTAGGATCTTGAAGGGAGCAGCCTAGATTCACCTGCCCTGCATTTGTGGTATGAAGTTCCTCGAATTACTGTAGGTGAGCCCTGCCCTGGACTAGAGTGGCTGGGAGAGACCAAGAACAACATGGTGGGGGGTACACATATAAATATAGTAATGAAGGTCACCCCAGGGCAGGAAACATGGGCCAGGCAGGATTCCTTCATAAGCTATTATAAACCTAACAGACACAGATAAGGCCAGCATGAGTTCCACAGAGGTCATGGGGGCAGAGGACCAGAAGAAAATGACAAACTGGAGGGACACATCATACCTCTGGCCAGCAGCAGACCATGAGATTAGTTCTAGTTAGGCTATGAATATTCCCCTCAAAAATTCTAAGTTCACACTAGAACTTGGATAAATTGATGACTTTGCCATAATATACAGCTGCAATAATTTTAGTCTGGAACTTTCTTTTTTTATTTTTTTTTTAAGTTGGAGTCTCACTCTATTGCCCAGACTGGAGTGCAGTGGCCACTCCTGGCCACTACAGCCTCAAACTGCTGGACTCCAGCGATCCTTCCACCTCAGCCTTTCAAGTAGCCAGAACTACAGGCGCGCACTACCACATCCGGCTAATTTTTTGAATTATTGTAGAGATGAGGTCTTGCCAAGTTGCCCAGGCGGGTCTCGGACCCACGGGCTCAGGCAATCCACTCACCTCAGCCTCCCAAAGCGCGAGATTACAGGCTGAGCCACCGAGCCCGGCTTGGAACTTTCTTTTTATTCTGAGTTGGAGTCTCACTCTGTCGCCCAGACTGGAGTGCAGTGGCCGTTCCCGGTCACCACAGTCTCGACCTACTGGGCTCCAGCGATCCTTCCGCTTCAGCCTTCCAAGTAGCTGGAACTATGGGCATGCATTACCACGCCCAGCTAGTTTTTTGATTTATTGTAGAGATGAGGTCTCGCCAAGTTGCCCAGGCTGGTCTCGAACCTGCGGGCTCAGGCAATCCACTCGCCTTGGTCTCCCAAAGTGCTAGGATTACAGGCTACGCCACTAAACCTGGCCTCTGGAACATTTTTAATTTTTATTTTTTTGAGTCAGTCTCACTCTATCACCCAGGCTGAAGTGCAGTGGCACAATCATGGCTCACCATAGCCTTGACCTCCTGGGCTCAGGCGATCCTTCTGCCTCAGCCTTCTGGGTAGCTGGGACTATAGGTGTGTGCCACCACGCCTGGCTAATTTTTTGAATTTTTTGTAGAGACAAGGTCTTACTATGTTGCCTAGTCTGGTCACAAACTAGCAATTCTCTCGCCTCAGCCTTCCAAAGTGCTGGGATTACGGGCATGAGCCACCATGCCTGGTCACAACATTGTAAAGCAGGTGTTCTCTAACATCTCCCTTAAAAAAAAAATCTAAATAGAAATCAGCAGAACATCTATCTTTAAGCAATGTAACTTTATTTATTTATGTATTTATTCTACAAATATTTAATGCCTAACAGGTGCCAAGCCCTGTGCTAGGCTCTGGGGATGCCCACATGGTTAATAACCTGTAGAATCTATACTAAAGGCTTGGTGATCTATTTAAGAAACTGTCTACCATATAACTGCTAGCCTACACACTGGCTTCAAGCACTGGTTAAAGCATGGGGCTTGGGAAGGTCTCCACCCCGGTCCCACCACCTTTTTGGATGAGCAAATTGAGCAAGTCACTTCACCTCTCTGATCTGGCTGTAAAATGGGGGTTACCTGTACCCATCTCATAGGATCACTGTGATGAATACAAGCAGTAACATCTGTGAACCCTTTATCAAGTGCCTGGAGCACCACGCTTGCTCAGCAGAAATTTGCTATACTTGTTACAAAATGGGACGGTCTTGGAGTCTCACTCTGTTGCCCAGGCTGGAGTACAGTGGCATGCTTACAGCCACTGTAGTCCCAATCTGCTGGATTCAGGTGATCCTCCCACCTCAGCCTTCCAAGTAGCTGGAACTACAGGTGTGTGCCACCACACCCAGCTAATTTTTTGATTTATTGTAGAGATGAGGTATCCCCAAGTTGCCCAGGCTGATCTCAAACCCCTGGACTCAGGCGATCTTCTCGCCTCCACCTCCCAAAGTGTTGGGACTATAGGTGTGAGCCACCGTGCCTGGATGGAATAGTTTCATTGGGCAGGAATTAGAGAGTAGGGCCAGATATCTATGAAATCCTCCCTTGGTTTCTGGTAATAAATTATCTGCTCACACACATAAAGCCTAACTTCTGGTTCTCTCTCTCTCTCTCTCTCTTTCTTTCTGAGACAGGGCCTGACATCCAGGCAGGAGTACAGTGGTATAATTATAACTCACTGCAGCCTCGAACTCCTGGACTCAAGCGATTTTTCCATCTCAGTCTCCTGAGTAGCTGAGACTACAGGCATGCCCCCACCATGCCCAGCTGATTTTTTTTTTTTTTTTTTTTTTTGTTGGAGTCTCATTCTGTCACCCAGACTGGAGTGCAATGGCCGCTCCCGGCCACCACAGCCTTGACCTGCTGGGCACCGGCGATCCTTCTGCCTCAGCCTTCCAAGTAGCTGGAACTACAGGCACGCTCTACCATGCCCAGCTTATTTTTTATTTTATTGTAGAGATGAGGTCTCACCAAGTTGCCCAGGCGGGTCTCGAACCCGCGGGCTCAGGCAATTCACTCACCTCAGCCTCCCAAAGTGCTGGGATTACAGGCTGAGCCACTGAGCCCGGCTGATTTTTTTTTTTTTTTTTTAAATAGAGATGGGGTCCTCACTATGTTGCCCAGGCAGGTCTTGAACTCCTGGCCTCAAGTGATCCGCCCACCTCAGCCTCTCAAAACACTAAGATTATAGGCACGAACCATTGTGCCGGGCCTCACATTTTGGTTCTCTTCACTCTGTGGTAGTCGCTGAGAGCACAGCTTCGGGGGCGGGGCGCAAACAGCCTGGGTGTGGGCCCACCTCCACCACTTCTGAGCTGTGTCTTGGGCGAGTCACTCAGCCCTTTAAGTTCCAGTTTCTGAGTCTGTGTCAGGTGAAGAGTAAAAGTGCCTGCCCTGTGGAGTTGTTGTGAGCATTAAACGCAGCCTGTGCACGGCTGCACTGATACCTGCTGGCTATCTGGTCGATGGTTGGCTGTAAACAGGCTCCCCTCTCAGAGTGGGGACAAGCAGAGGAGGAAAGAGTGGGCAGCCGAGGAAGATCAATCAACTGAATCCTGGAGATCAATGGCATGATATGTGGAGACCAGAGTGCCCTCTGGTCTAATCAATGACTCAGAACTGCATGCCATTTGCTTGATGACACAGCCCCACACGCCCACGGAACTGACAAGCTCTGCTTCTGTCTGTGAACCCTCCCACCCTGCACTGTCATCACTGGGAGGTGATGCCTGCACTGTCACCCATGGCGTGTCACCTGGTTTGGGTGATGTCTGAGTCCTTTTGCATCTTACATCTGTTTCCTAGGTTATTGGCACTCCCATGTGACTGAATACGAACTGCACGTGTTACGTGTGTCTTCCCTGTTCCTCGCCATTTAACATCTAGGTCTCTGGGTATCTGAGTGTGGAAAATGGGGCTGTAAATCCCAGATGTCAGGTCTAGGGGGGGTGTGGGTGGCTGAGCCAATCTGGCACGTAGAGATGCTCACTAGACCTTTGTTCAAGGACATGGTAGGTGCTGGATTCTGGGACAGGCTCCAGGGGCGCTGTCCAAGGTGGCAGAGTTTTTAACCTCAGGGCATAGAGAAGCAAAGGAGATGATGCCTCGTGAATCTCCCAGGCTGAGGGTTCAGGAACTAGCAGACCAGCCTTGAGTGGGTGGGGTGGGACCCTTTCCTCTTTGATTTCTGAAACCACTTCAGTTACTCCCAGGGACCCTGCCTGCCTGTTGTTTACAAGGCTGACGCTGCCCGGCTCTCCTGATGACAACTTTAATGCCACTCAGAAAGGATTAAGATCTTACTTAAACATACACACAAAGCTCCCTTGGGCACAGCTGTCAAGCTGAAGAGCTGAGGCGGCAAACCTTGTTAAAAAAAAAAAGCAATGAAGTTGGAAACATCATGAGGGAGATCTGACGTTCAGAAGCCCAGCTGGGAAGGCTTTTCCTGCTGAAGGCCACCCTGCCCACCCCAGCTCACTCTCCCCACCTCACCCCCCACTGGGGATGGGGCAGAGGTGGAAGGTTCACTGGAAGTCACCCTGGCCACTGTTCATGAAGCAGTGATCACCGCCACAGCTCCACAGGTGTCCGGGTCAGCTGGAGGCCCCAGATTGCTTCAGATGGAGTGATAGCACACAACCTCTTAGGCCAGGATCTCATCATCAGGGACAAGCAAGAGGATGGTGGCTGCTCTGGGTAGAAGCAAGATTTCCCTTTGGGGACAGGTGCTGCCCTGGCCAGGGTATCCTGGCTCCCTACCTCTTTGATGCCCCTAAGGGATCTCACTGTGCCCTTGCACGGCTCACTGAGCACTGTTGTTCCATCTGTGGCCTCACTCTACCTCCTGGCAACCCTGCAGCAACCCTGCAGGCAGATTTCACGTGTCTCCTTTTAAAGCTTAATGGCAGTGGCTCACACCTATAATCCCAGCACTGTGGGAGGCTGAGGTGAAAGAATTGCCTGAGCCCACAGGTTCGAGACCAGCCTGGACAACTTGGCGAGACCTCATCTCTACAATAAATAAAAAAAAATTAGCCAGGCATGGTGGCGATATCTGTAGTTCCAGCTACTTGAAAGGTTGAGGTGGAAGGATCACCTGAGCCCAGCAGGTTGAGGCTGCAGTGGCCGTGAGTGTGCCCCTGTACTCCAGCCTGGGCGACAGAATGAGACTCCAACTCAAAAATAAAATAAAATAAAGCTTAATGGAACCAAACGAGGCTCAAGAATTTCCCCAAGCTCACACAGCTACCACATGGCGGTGGGAAATGGAAACTCAGTCAGTCTGCCTGTTCCAAACCTAAAGCCTCCTCCCCTGTCCCACCACACAAGTCCTTCTTGGGGTGGCCATCCCCCTTCCCTTCCCTTCCAGTCTCCCAGGGAGGTGGGTGTGCCTAGAGGACAGCCCTGTAGTCAGGAGCCTTGGAGACTGGACTCTCTATGCCCTGGAAACCTGGGGCTTGCCCTACCCCACAGTCGGGGTCTCCCAGTCAGCCCTCAGGAGATGCAGCTCTGTGGGCACAGGGCCTACCTGCCTACCTGCCACAACGCCGGCCATGTAGACAAGCCCGATTCGGGTGGCTCCATGTACCATCTCCAGGGGCACCCCCACCAGCAGCTGTAGCACCACGTTGAGTCCCAGGTGTTCTATCCTGTGACAGAGAGCCCACAGTCATCCATCTGCCCATTCATTCAACAAACACCTGAATAGGCCGGGCTCGGTGGTTCAGCCTATAATTCCAGCACTTCGGGAGGTGGAGGCAGGTGGATTGCCTAAGCCCACAGGTTTGAGACCCACCTGAGCAACTTGGCAAGACCTACAATAAATCAAAAATCAAGTCTCTACAATAAATCAAAAATTAGCCAGGCTTGGTAGCACACACCTGTAGTTCTAGCTGCTTGGAAGGTTGGGGTGGAAGAATTGCCAGAGCCCAGCAGGTTGACGCTGGGGTGGCCATGAGCGTGCCACTGCACTCCAGCCTGGGCAACAGAGTAAGACTCCAACTCAAAAACAGCAACAACAACAAAAACAATGACAAAAACTAAAACACCTGGATCTCCCAAGATCTAGAGGGTCCAGCGGTAAACAAGATTGTTTTGGCCAGGCACAGTGACTCATGCCTGTTTTCCCAGCACTTTGAGAGGCAGAGAAGAGAGGATTGCCTAAGGGCAGAGGTTCGAGTCCAGCCTGGGCAACTTGGCGAAAACTCTTCTCTACAATAAATCAAAACATAAAATTAAATTAGCTGGGCTTGGTGGCACATGCCCTGTAGTTCTACTTGGAGGGCTGAGATGGAAGGATCGCTTGAGCCCAGCAGGCCGAGGCTGCAGTGACTGTGAGTGTGCCACTACACTCCAGCCTGGGCAACAGAGTGAGACTCTGGCTCAAACATACAAACTGGCCAGGTGGAGTGGCTCAAGCCTATAACCCCAGCACTTTGGGAGGCTGATGTGAGAGAATTGCCTGAACCCATGGGATCAAGAGCAGTCTGAGCAACTTGACAAGACCTCATCTCTACAATACATCACAAATTTAGCCGGGCATGGTGGCATGTGCCTGTAGTTCCAGCTACTTGGAAGGCTGAGGTGGAAGGATCGCCAGAGCCCAGCAGGTCGAGGGTGCAGTGGCTATGAGTACGCCACTGCATTCCGGCCTGGGCAACAGAGTGAGACTTTGACTCAAAAAAAAAATACAACAACAACAAAAAGACTGTCTCTGGTTTTGAGGAGCTCTTGGTCATGGGAGAGGAATGACAATGCACAGAGACCATCTTGGAAAGAGCATTCCTTCTAGCTGGGACAGGAGCAGGTGCAGGACCTGGGAAGTGACCGGCAGTGTTTTGCCTGCCACAGTGACAGGGACTAATCACAGGCAAGATCCAGCAACTCCATAAGTTAACACATAAGACACTGAGGCTCAGAGGCAGGTAGTGACTGGTTTAAAGTCTCATGGTTGGCTAGTGGCCTGGCTGAGACCACAGTCCAGGCCGCCAACCTGCCTGACCTGCTCCATTCACCAGGCCAGGAAGTTGATCTGGCTCTATTTGTAAGAGCTACTGAATTTTTTTTTTTTTTTTTTTTGAGCCAGGGTCTCACTCTGTTACCCAGGCTAGAGAGCAGTGGCACAATCATAGTCTCCAAATCCTGGGTTCAAACGATCCTTTTGCATTAGCCTCCCAAGTAGCTGAGATTGCACCACCACATCCAGCTAATTTTTGAGATTTTTTGTAGAGATAAGGTCTTGCCATGTTACCCAGGCTGGTCTTGAACTCCTGGACTCAAGTGATCCTTTAACTTGGGTCTCCCAAACAGTTGGGATTACAAGCATGAGCTGCTATGCCCAGCTACCTGCACTTATTTTTGAGAACATCCTTTTCTTTAAATATCAGTAGCTGGGCCTGGCGCAGTGGTTTACGTCTGTAATCCCAGCACTTTGGGAGGCCAAGGCGAGAGGACTACCTGAGCCCAGGGGTTCGAGACCAGCCTAGGCAACTTGGCGAGACCTTGTCTCTACAATAAATCAAAAAATTAGCCAGGCATGGTGACACATGCCTGTAATTCCAGTTACTTGGAAGGTTGAGGCAGAAGGATCGCCTGAACCCAACAGATTGAGGCTGCGGTGGCCGTGAGCATGCCATTGTACTCTAATCTGGTTGACAGAGGGAGACTCCAATTCAAAAAAAAAAAACCACAAGTGCAGGTATTAAAGACATCTCTTGTAACTTAATCATTCAGTTTTCCCTTGAAGTCTCAATGGGGAGGAAGGAACCTGTTCTGCTCCAAATCTCTCAGGGTTAGAAGATGTAGCCCCAGGTTTCCTTGCTCTTCCTCAGTACAGTACTAGACACATGTGACCAGATCTTGATGCTAAACATGTGGGGTGTCTAGCCCAGCGTATATGTTAAAAGAAAAGATCATGACATGACTGTTACTAAATCACTGGTGTGTTTTGTCATTTACAAAGCACTTTAATACCCTTTCTCTCACTTAAACTGATCTTATAGTACCTGGGTAGCTCCCTGGGGAGGGTCTCAGTTAGGGAATAACAGAGCCTGTAACAAGAAGTCTGGGCCCTGGCCTGGATCCCAGCCTTACTATGAGTCTGCAGGGCCCTGCCTGGAGGCCTGACTGTGCTATGCTGAGGACCTATGCGTCACATGGGTACCTGCTTGCTCAGGAGGGCACCTGCAAGGTAGCTCAGACAGGGTGGGCTGTGTCCTGAATTCCACCATGCTGGAATCTTCTACCCTCCACTGACTGCTAGCTAAGGCCTTCTATGGAGATTAGAGGTGGCAGAAGTCGTCACTGGAAAGGGGCTGGATGACAGCATCGGACTCACAGTTGGAGGGGTCTTCGAGGTTTCCTGAGCCCATGTCCTGTTTTCTAGCCTCAGAACCTGAGACTAGGGGAGGCCAGGTGAGGAGAACTGGGGCTTCTGCCCCCTACTCCGAGCTCTTCTTTACCATACCAACTTCCAGATGCCCAGACCACAGTGTGTCTCTGAGTGACGGGTCACCTTGCTGGGATCTCCCTAGATGCTGACCAGCTATCCCTATCTCCTGTCTTCTGGTGTACCTATTCTTGCTGCCTCTCCCTCAAAATCCACAGACCTGGAGAACCCTTCCAGGGCTCTTCCAGGCAGGCACTGCACCATCAGAAGCATTCTCTGGGACCTTTCCCAGAGAAAGGCCCACAGCTACTACCCCTGCGGACCTCAGTGAGGGCATCTTGCCCTGCCCACTGTGCGCACACCGCCTTTAGTTCCAGGAGACAGAGAATGGAGCAAGGGAGCTTTGGGGGCTCTGGCTAGTCTCCTTCCTCACCCTGAGGGACCCAAGGAGGTCAGAGGGCAATCCTGGAAAGATGGCAGGTAGTCCAACACATGTGCAGCCACTGGCTTGGGCAGCTGGGCAGGGGAGACCCGTTTCTGTTGTCTCCAGACTTATGAGAGGACAGAAGCATGACATCCCTCTCTCCCTCTCCTTAGCCCTGGGAGGTCAAAGCCTGGGACAAGTCACACAAGGTACATGCCTGTACCATGGTCCCCTTTGACCCAGAGCAGAGACATACATCAGCAACCACCCAGAGGTCACCTCACCCTCCCAAGCAGGTGTACCTGGTTAGGGTTGGCTCTTGTGCCTGCTTTAGAGGCTCAGCAGGCAGGGAGGCTCACAGTACAACTTCCTCTTGGCTACTGTGAGTCTTTCTGCTGAGGAACAGGAATGATAGAGCCATTGGGGCCAGAGTGCTCCCCTTCCTCCCTTTCCAACTCCAGGGTCAAGTATCCCTGGAGTTTTTCCCAGGCTAACATGAGCTCCTTTGCATCTCTGGAGAGGCTGTAAAAGACACCACAGAGGTCCGGTGTCCAGGGTCTCTGCTCTCCTAATTCAGTGTCTCTACTACATAGAAACAGTCTCTAGTCAAGACTGCTGCTCTTCAAGGGACTTGGACCTGGATGGTGACCTGGACAGCCAGTAGGCCTTTCTCATGAAGTAGGAGGCACCAGTGAGAACTGATCGTGCTCTAGCCCCCAAAGAGGCTACAGGGCTCTGTAAACAGAACTATCATTACTGCTGCCAGAGGTCTTCAAGAAGACCCTCATCACATATGGAGACCACCTGGAAGGAAGGTGCTTTCTTTTTTTTTTTTGAGACAGGTGCTTACTCTGTCACCCAGGCTGGAGCACAATGCCACGATCACAGCTCACTACAGCCTTGACCTCCTGGCCTCAAGTGATCCTCCTACCTTAGCCTCCCATTGTGCTGAGATTACAGGTGTGAGCCACTGTGCCCAGCCTAGGACGGTGATTTCAATAAATTAGTCCTTTATTTCACTTATAGGGGTGCTCACACACAAATATGGACAATAAATTTAGTGGCTGATCAGGATTTTGTGAGAGAACAGAAAAGCTCCCACAATGGGAGGGGATCTGAGGGGATTGCCCCACTTATTTTTCTGTACGGACTCTTTTTTTTGAGTTGGAGTCACACTCTGTCGCCCAGGCTGGAGTGAAGAGGCATGCTCATAGCCACCGCAGGCTCGACCTGCTGGGCTCAGGCGATCCTTCCACCTCAGCCTTCCAAGTAGCTGGAACCACAGGCATGTGCCACCACGCCCAGTTAATTTTTTTGACTTATTGTAGAGATGAGGTCTTGCCAAGTAACCCAGACTAGTCTTGAACCCTTGGTCTTAGGCAATCCTCTCGCCTCTGCCTCCCAAAGTGCTGGGATTACAGATGTGAGTCACTGTGTCCGGCCTAGGACACTTGATAGAGCAAAAGAAGACAGGTACTTACCCTGCATGCATGAAGATGTATGTCAGGTAGCGCCAAGCCTGTGCCCGGAGCTGTGGGTGGTAAACCAGTGAGTTCTTCAGGTAACGTGGATGAGTTACCTGCAGCACAAATTGACCCAGCGACACCCCATTGTAGAGGAAGAAGGCCACCTGGAGGAAAGCACAGAATGGAGAGGGCCTGTGACTAGGTGCAGCACTGCCCAGGAACCATCCTGACAAACAGTGGGAATCCCTACAGGACATTATCATCTTTCCTTCTCAGAGAAGGCGGGACACCCCATGGCCTGTGCCCAGCTGAGCTTTCAACCATCACTGCTGTTTGATTACTTTGTGTTGTCAAATGGTCACCAGGTGGCCCTGGGGCCTCTCTGTCCATACATCCTCGGTGCAAAGCAGGAAAGGTTTAGAGGATTTTAAACTTTAATTCCAGTAATAACTCACACAGCCACTTGGGGGACGATACATTTCACATAGGTTGATTTTATTTATTTGGTTGTTTATTGAGTTGGAGTCTCATCCTATCGCCCAGGCTGGAGTGCAGTGGCACGCTCACAACCACTGCAGCCTTGACCTGCTGGGCTCAGGCAATCCTTCCACTTCAGTCTTCCAAGTAACTGGAACCACAGGTGCATGCTGCCACGCCCGGTTAATTTCTTTTTTTTTTTTGTAGATATGAGGTCTCACCAAGTTGCCCAGGCTACTCTCGAACCCCTGGGCTCAGACAATCCTCTTGCCTCAGCCTCCCAAAGTACTGGGATTACAGACTTGAGCCACCTTGCCCAGTTGATTGATTGATTGATTTTGAGTAGGAGTCTCACTCTGTCACCCAGGCTGGAGTGTAGTGACACGCTCACGGCCACCACAGCCTCGACCTGCTGGGCTCAGGCGATCTCTCTGACTCAGCCTTCTAGGTAGCTGGAACCACAGGTGCATACCACCATGTCCTGCTAATTTTTTATTTATTGTACAGACAAAGTCTCGCCAATTTGCCCAGGCTGGTCTTGAACACCTGGACTCGGCAATCTTCTCGCCTTTGCCTCCGAAAGTGTTGGGATTATAGGCATGAGCCACCATGCCCAGACGACTTTCCTTTTTAAGCCTGATAATATGCCATTGTATGTACATGTCATATTCTGTTTATCATTTCTCCAGTGATACACTATTGTGAATAATGCTGCTATGAATATGGGTATACAAGTATCTCTTCTCATGCCTGCTTTCAGTTCTTTGGGGATATGTTCAGAAGTGGGATTGCTGGATCGCATGGTAACTCTATGTTTAATTTTTTGAGGAAACGCCAGACTGTTTTCCATAGCAGCTGCACCATTTTACATTCCCACCATCAGTGCACAAGGGTTCCAATTTCTCCACATCCTCACCAACACTCCACATAAGTTGATTTTGCACATGACTGAAGCATACTTGTTTAAGCCCCAAAAGGCATTTATTTTAACTATTTTTTTCCCTGGGACTCTTCCTGAAACACATCATTTATGTTCCTGGGTTCTTAATCAGGGCATATGCATAAACGTTTAAGGATATCTCAGGTATTGATCTGGACTGTAAGAGTGATATCAGCTGGGCCTGGTGGTTTGCACCTATTAATCCTAGCACTTTGGGAGGCTGAGGCGGGAGGATTGCTTGAGCTCAGGAGTTCGAGACCAGCCTGGGCATCATAGCGACCACTCATCTCTATAAAACAATTCAAAAATTAGCCAGGTGTGGTGGTGCATACCTGTAGTCCAGCTACTATGAAGGCTGAGGCAGAAGGATCACCTGAGCCCAAGAGGCCAAGATTGTGGTGAGCTAGGATCATACTGCTGCACTCCAGCATAGGTAAGAGTGAGAGACAATTCAAAAAAAAAAAAAAGTGGTATCTTTCCTAGCAACCCCAGGAGGATGGGGGTTTTGCTCATCTACTTAAAGCTCCAAATTTTTCTATTTCTTTAACATTCAGGTTTGTTTGTTTTTTTTTGAGTTGGAGTCTCATTCTGTCATCCAGACTGGAGTGCAATGGCCGCTCCCGGTCTCCACAGCCTCGACCTGCTGGGCTCTGGTGATCCTTCCACCTCAGCCTTCCAAGTAGCTGAAACTACAGGCGCGTGCTACCACACCCAGCTAATTTTTTGATTTATTGTAGAGATGAGGTCTCGTCAAGTTGCCCAGGTGGGTCTTGAATCTGCAGGCTCAGGCAATCCACTCACCTCGGCCTCCTAAAGTGCTAGGATTACAGGCTGAGCCACCGAGCCCAGCCTCAGGTCTGCTTTTAAATTTTCTTTTGTCATTTCCCTCACTACTGTACCAGGTTGTCACCTGCAACTTTTTTTAAGTTAAAAAAAATTTTTTAAATATAAGAGATGGCCTCTCAATATGTTGCCAGACTAGTCTCAAATTCCTGGACTCAAGCAATCCTCCTGGCTTGGCCTCACAAAGTGCTGAGATTACAGGCATGAGCCACTGTGCACAGCCCAGCTGCTACTTCTTATTACTGGCTAGTATTGGGGTCTCTTCTAGCTGCTTCCTACTATGTCCCTTCCATTTTCTTTCTTTCTTTTTTTTTTTTGAGTCAGAGTCTCCTCTGTCGCCCAGGCTGGAGTGCAGTGACACACCACTACTGCAGCCTCCACCTACTGGGCTCAGGTGACCCTTCTGCTTCAAGCTTCCAGGTAGCTGGAACCATAGGCATGTGCCACCATGCCTAGCTGATATTTATTGTAGAGACAAGGTTTTGCCATGTTGCTCAGCTTGGTCTCGAACTCCTGAGCTCAGGCAGTCCTCTCGCCTCTGCCTCCCAAAGTGCTGGGATTACAGGCCTGAGACACCACGCCTGGTCCTCACTTCTATTTTCTGTTATGGGTTCAGAAAGCCAGATTACTAGAATTATATATAAGACAAAAACCTTGGGCTTTAGCTCAAGGGCTTTGAGATTGTTATTTCAGCTTTTTGATCAATTTCCAGTTTCTTCTAGATTGGTGGTTTCAGTTTACATAGCTGAGGCTTCTGGAAATCTGAACCAATTTGGACACAAAATATGGTACCACTTGATCAACTGTTCATATTATTGGAATTATTATTATTATTATTATTTTTGGGGGGTGGGGTTGAAGTCTCTCTGTAGCCTAGGCTGGAAAGCAGTGGCACAATCACGGCTACCACAGCCTCCACCTGCTGGGCTCAGGCGATCCTTCTGCTTTAGCTTTCCAAGTAGCTGGAACTATAGGCATGCATCATCACTCCTGGCTAATTTTTTGATTTATTGTAGAGACGAGGTTTTGCCAAGTTGTCCAGGTTGGTCTCGAACCTCTGGGCTTAGGCATCTCTCTCACCACCTCCTCCCAAAGTGCTGGGATTATAGGTATGAGACACCTCACCTATTTGGTCCTCAGTTTCCTTACCTGAAAATGGGTACCAATTCCTAAACTTCCAGAATGGTCATGAGGTCTAGAAGTGATAAAGTACACAAAGAGCTGGCCTGGTGTCTGGCACACACTCAGAGATCGAAGCTATAATTAGTGTCGGGTTAAAACCTTCTGGGCTAAGCCTGGGAGTGGCTTAGGCCCGGACAGCTGTGCCCTGCTGGGCTTTCTGAAGAGCTGTTCTGTCCACCTAACACTCTGCAGGTAGCCTGGCAGCAAATTCAGCTTCCAAGGCATCTCGTTATTATTGGTCCTCAAATAGAAGTTAATAAATAGGCGCACACAGTAAACACTTGAAGAACGAGTCCAAGAATATCTCAGAAAAATCGCAACTTCAACGTGTACTTGGATGAATCCATAACAACAAGTAGAAGAGCTCTGGCCTGCAGACCAGATATTCTGATTTAGAAAAAAAGAAGGAGAAGAAGGATGCCACGAAATTTAACGATCCTGCCGTCTGATTAGGCAGGAACTTTACAAGAACATATGCAGAGGCGGTAATTAGGCCTGTGGCTTTGGAAGAGAAACAGCGGAGATCATAAAATCTCCAAGTGAAGTCAAGCATCTATTCAGGAGCTGGAGTCGGGGTGGGCTGCACAGGTTCTTGAGTCGAACAACCAGAAGAATTCGGTTTTATCACACATGGGCACTGGCACAGCAAGTGGTACTCTTGCATTCTGTTGCATAAGCAGGAGAATTTTAGCATAACAATGGGCACAGCTGATTCCCCAAGGGGAGACTGTTCTTTTAAAATGTTAAGCCCATATCTACCTGCTCATAAACACTCCCTCCCAGATGTATTTGTGTGATGCTTTTGTGTTCAGAAAGCACCAATAGCCATTCCATCACTTTATTTTTTATTTTATTTTATTTTATTTTATTTATTTATTTATTTTGAGTTGGAGTCTCACTCTGTCGCCCAGACTGGAGTGCAGTGGCCGCTCCTGGCCACCACAGCCTCGACTTGCTGGGCTCTGGCGATCCTTCCACCTCAGCCTTCCAAGTAGCCAGAATTACAGGCATGCGCTACCACGCTTGGCCGATTTTTTTTTCATTTATTGTAGAGATGAGGTCTCGCAACCCAGGCAGGTCTCGAACCCGCGGGCTCAGCAATCCACTCACCTCAGTCTCCCAAAGGCACGGGATTATAGGCTGAGCCACCAAGCCCAGTTGTTTTTTTTTTTGAGTTGGAGTCTCACTCTGTCACCCAGACTGGAGTGCAGTGGCCGCTCCCAGCCACCACAGCCTCGACTTGCTGGGCTCCAGTGATCCTTCCGCCTCAGCCTTCCAAGTCTCTCCCCATAACCTAGGCTGGAGTGCAGTGGCACACTCATGGCCACCCCAGTATCGACCTACTGGGCTCTGGCCATCTATCCGCCTCAGTTTTCCAGGTAGCCAAAACTATAGGCACGCACTACCACGCCCAGCTAATTTTTGTGATTTATTGTAGAGATGAGGTCTCACCAAGTTGCCCAGGCTGGTCTCAAACCCCTGAGCTCAGGCAATCCTCTCACCTCAGCCTCCCAAAGTGCTGGGATTACAGGCTTGAGCCACCGCACCTGGCCCCATTCCATCACTTTAAATAGAGGTGTCCTGGGAGAAGGAGGGCAGGTCTGGTTACTCCATTCTCAGGTGGGAAAATGAAGCCTCAAGGGAGCAAAGGTCCATGTTACCCACCGGGGGAGGAACTAAAACAAATTGGCTTTGGTTGGCTCATGCCTGTAATCCCAGTACTTTGGGAGGCAGAGGTGAGAGGATTGCTGGAGCTCTGGGGTTCGAGAGCAGCCTGGGCAACTTGGCAAGACCTCCTCTCAACAATAAATTTAAAAAGTTCACCAGGCATGGTGGCGTGCGCCTGTATTTCCAGTTACTTGGAAGGTGAGGTGCAAGGATCACCTGAGCCCAGCAGGTTGAGGCTGCAGCCTCCATGAGCATGCCACTGCACTCCAGCCTGGGTGACAGAGTGAGACTCCAACTCCAAAAAAAAAAAAGGCTTTGGCCAGGTACAGTGGCATTCAAGTGTATAATCCCAGCATTTTGGGAGGCTGAGGCAGGTGGGTCGCTTGAGCCCAGGAGTTTGAGACCAGCCTGGGCAACAGCAAAACCTCATCTCAAAAAAAAAAAAAAAAAAAAGAAAAAAATTAGCCAGGCGTGATGGCATATGCCCATAGACCCAGCTACTTGGGAGGCTGAAGTGGAAGAATCACCAAAGCCCAGGAGGTTGAGGCTGTCGTGAGCCGTGATCATCATGATCATGCCACTGCACTCCAGTCTGGGTGACAGAGTGAGACCCCGACTCAAAAAATGAAAACAAAAATAAAAAAAATAAATTGGCTTTCATGAGTTAGCCTGGTTAAATCCCCCAAACCAAGGAACTCATGCCACTGTTTTTGTTGCTGCTGCTCTGGTGGGGGTGGCCCTATGGGGCTTTTGCTGCAGCAAAAATGCTCTGTGGACTGTCTTCTTGCAGTCTGGGTTATAATAACACATAAGGGTATCTGACTTGCAATGACAACTGCCACTTGATCCTCACCCATCACCCTGTGGTGGAGAAGAATGTCGCCCACTCTCTCACGCCCGGAGCTCGACATCCTCTTGGCCCTCTCCCCAGGGGAGAGCAGCCCCCTCCCTGCCCCTGTCCTTGCCTCCAGCAGCGTGACTGTGACCATGAACCAGGGCGGCGGGCAGCAGGTGTAGCTGTCGTAGTACCACTTGCGGTCTATCTCCCTGGGCAGGGTCTCGTAGGCCACATGGCGGATCAGCCGCTGTGAGAGGCTCAGCCCCTTCTCCTCCAGCAGGGCCTTGCTGCTGAGCCGGCGGTTGCCCTGCAGGATGGCCTGGCGGAAGCTGTTGGAACGCTTGTTGCTCATCTGTGTGGAAAACGGGGCGGGGAGAAGGTCAGAGCTGGGGTCTAGGGAGCACCCCACCCACTTCCCAGCTCCTTAGGCCAGGCCTAACTCCATATTCCCCTCCTTCACTAGTAGTTAATACAGATCAGTACTCACTGAGTACTGATGTGTACTCCCCAGGTGTCAGGGGTTAGTCTAAGCACATCACATGTTTTGACTCACTGGATACTCACTGGAAACTCACGAGTCTACCTAAGCTAAAACATCCCTATTCTATCAGATTAGGAAACTGAGGCACCAAAAGTTTTAGGAAATCACCTTGTTCTACCCAAGTAAGGTTCCAGATCTATACTTGTTTTTTTGAGTCGGGGTCTGACTCCCACCCAGGCTGGAGTGCAGAGGCATGATCACACCTCACTGCAGCCTTGAACTCTCTGAACACAAGCCTTCTTCCCGCCTTAGCCTCCTAGATAGCTGGGACTACAGGCACGCACCACGTCCAGCTTATTTTTTTGTAGAGATTAAGTCTGGCTACGCTGGCTAGGCTGGTCTCGAACTATGGGGCTTAAGCAACTCTCCCGCCTCAGTCTCCCAAAGTGCTGGCATGAGCCACCACACCCAGCCAGAGTCTATTTGCAATCACCATATCTTCCTTCTCTCCACTCATTCATCACCCATGCAGCGCAATGAAGTGAACAACTACTAAGTGTCAAGCACATTACCAGACACAGGGATACAGTGGTGCTCAAGACAGATAAGTGGCCCGCAATCGCAGTTCAGAGTAAAGGCTGCTGCAGGAGCACCAAAGAGGGAGCCCAATCCCGTCCCAAAACGGTCAGGGAGGGCTTCCTGGAGGCGATGAAGTTTGAATAAGAACCAGAGGATGAGCTGAAGGTAGTGTCCTCAGACGCACTAGCTTGTTGAAGGTGGGCAGCCCTTGGTTAGACAGGTTTGTAGAGTGGCCCCCAGAACCAGACACCAAAGCTGTGCCTGTGGCCAGTCACTACTCCTGAGTGCCTACACAGGTACTATAATGCCTGGTGAGCTCTGCCTTAGGGCTGGCCCTCCCCTCAGCAGCCTGAGGCTGCCCTGACCCACCCTCCATAGAGCTCTGGCTGCCTCCCCAGCGGTCAGCCTGACTCCCAGAGTCCAGAGGCAGTCTTGCTGGCTTCCGGCCTCCTGAGGCCTCCGTTGCCTCCTGCCTGCCCTCCACAGCTGCATTCTAGACCCTTCTTATGGAGGGAAGCCCTGGAGACACAGTTCTCTCAACCCCAGCCATTGCATGGTCGCTGGCATGGGAAAGATCAACAAATTCCTTGGACCACGGGCCCAGCAGTGGACATCAGGCTAAACCTGACCGCTCAGCTGTAACACAACGTGGCCTGTCCTCTGAGAGAGGCCTGTGCCAAGCACTGTGGGAGCTCTGAATAAGGTGGATTTGTCCTGCCTGGGGTAGGGCAGGTAAAGGCACACGAAGGATGCAGAGGCATCTACCCAGTGGAAGAACATCAAGCAACAACAAAAGCACTCAAATACTTGGTCTCATTTGATCCTTGCAACAACCCCAAAGAGGGTATCTTCTGGCTTCAATTTATAAATGGGAAAATCCAGACTCAGAAGATGTTTCCCATATGAGTGGCAAAGGCAGAGCCAGGAGCAGGACCCAGGTCTGGCTGGCTCCAGGCCCTCAGCTCTCTGCTCTAATCGTGGCTCTCTCCCTGGGGAGTCCCTGGTCTCGGGAGACTGCCCTGCTCATGTGAAACCAGGCAGTGCTGGCTGCTCCAGCTTAGAGTGGAACAGAGAAACCCCAACAGCGACAAGTAATGTGCTGTCCTGAGCTCACACAGAGGCTCTACTGACTCCCCGGCTGGAGAGTGGCCACTCATGGGTCTGCATGCCCCACTCTGCCCTGTGACTGACCAGACATGCTGGTGCTGGGGCCGTGGGTGAGTCTGTGAAGGCTCAACCCTGTGGCCTGATCTCTGGTGGTGCACCTGGGCTCCAAGCCACCAGGCTCGACCCTGCTGCCCATCCCATGAATCCTGACCATGTCCACCTCCCCCACACAGCTCAGCTCTGCCCCTGCCCTCCACAAGGCCCACTCCCTGAGTCTACAATGAACAGCAATAGAGTCCCCCGCCCCTACAAACCCCATGGCAGCTCCCTGCAATCCTGCCAATCTCTAGGTGGAGGCCGGCCCTCAGCCAAGAGGTTGTTAGTACATCTCCCCCACCTGGGCATCCATGTCAGAGAGTTCATGGGCCCAATGCCAGGCTCCATGGTGCCAGCTCCCTGGTCACTGGTGCCTTTGGGCTCTAGGAACATGAGGCACTTCACACAAGTCACTTCATTCACTCTTGCTCCCGACATGGGTGATATGAAGAGAGATGATTGATTGGTTCCATGTGGCCAACAGGGAAACCGAGCAAAAACTTCTGATCCTGTCTTCATCCTGCTTGTTCCTGCAGCTTCTACTGATGCCACATCCATCCCACAGTGGGTAAACATTGCCTGCTTAGCCCCACTGAACCTCACTCCACAGTAGCCCCCAAAATAGCACAGCATCAACCCTCAGCGAGGAGGAAGTTTCCGCACCAAGACACCAGGCCACTGGACAGGACTCTTGAGCCTCCTTTCTCCAGCTTCCGACAACCCAGGGCACTTTCCAGCAGGTCTGAGGAACTCTGGCCTCCACGGGGTGCTGCACTGACCCCAGGGAGGTCCCCTTCTCCACCCCAGTACCTATTCCCCTGCCAGCAATTTCCTCCCTACTCCCAGTTTCCTATTTTGGTGGCACTGACACCACTCAGCTCCAGGGCTGGGACCAGGGCTCACTGGTTTGAGTCAGTCCACCCATCCTACTGACCCACTCTAGGCCAGTGGGAAGGAAAAAATCCCAGGCTTTGTGTGGGAGCTACCATAAGTCTCCTTCTTTCTACGTGGTGCAGACTGAGGCTATGAGGGCTAGAACAGCTGCAGCCACCTTGCTGCCATGAGGGGAGGGTCTGAAATTGCCAGGGGCTGCTCCGAGGGTGGTGGACACTGCAAAAGGCAGGGCCGCGAGACACAGAGGACACACGTCCTTGGCGGTATATTCACTTGTTGAAGCCTGGACGTTTTCAACACTGCAGGCCAATGGATGCCTCTAATTGTCTAAGGCCCTCAATGTGTCTAAGCCACAACCCCCAAACAGGTCCCTCTCAGAGGCGAGGGCCCCAGAGCACTCACCAGGTTGACAAAATCCTGGTAGCAGATCTGCCCATCGGCATGGCTGTCAGCGAGGGCCAGGAGCACCTCCCTTTTGTGCGGGTCCAGGTTGGAGCTGTGGCTCTCCAGGAGGGTCCGGAACTTGCCTGTGCTGATGTAGCCCGTGTTCCCAGGGTCAAACTGAGGGAGAAGCACAGACAGCAACGGGGTCAGCAGGGTACCACCCCCTCTCAGTACCGAGTAGGTGCCCCAATTTCTACCAACCCGCACAGGCCCTCTGCCAAGAGGCCCAGGCAGTGTCAGGGAGGTTTCCAAGGGCCTCTGGGAAATATCCAAATAGGAACGGACAAGCACTTGAAATCCTGGAGGACCCAATCCAACCGTCTCTTGTGGATAAGGAAACCGAGCATAAATGACCGCCAGTCAGCCCTCCCTTCTGGAGAGGAAAGCAGGAGTGAAAAGGCAATGACTGGAGGAAGATGAGGAACTTCAGAGGTCTGGGATGGAAGAGGACAGCAGGAGGAGGAGTTTCAGCAGAAGATCTTTAGGCAGAGAGGAAGGACCAGACTCCAGTGGGGATGCCTGAGGGCTGGGGAGCAGGGAGCACAGCCTCGCAAGTCCTTCTGACCCTGGCACTGGTCGTCTTCCATGGCCCCCCCGACTCCTCCCATGCATGCAGGACTGGCAGGCCCCCAGACACTCTGTTGTTTTTGTTTTGTGCATGTATGTGTCTGCGTGTGTTTCACATGTGCTCTTTTATCCTGTGCGCACGTGGGACCCTCGGCCTGAAATTCCCTTTCCTCCCTCATCTTCCAGGGAGACTCCGGCTCACCCTTTCTGATGGCCCAGATGTCCTCTTCTCCAGGAGGCTTCCCTCAGGCTACACCCCTCACACTCTGGACAGACCTCTGGACCGCCGGTCCACACTGGTCTCTGGCTGGCTACTCTTGCCTTCTCGCTGGACCCGCAGCTTGGCATCGTGATTCATCCCAGTGCTTAGCCCAGAGCCTGGCATTATCGACGCTCAACAGAGATTTGCCGGATGAGTAAGCAGCACACGTTCAGATGAACAGACGGGCACTGATTTTCCAAGCAAAGCCTCATGGGCTCAGTGAGAAAAGGCAGGATCTCATGCCCCTCGCCCTGGGAAGCCCTTAACCCTTCTGTCCCTCCTTCCTCCTGGAGCCCATCCCAGCCTACCCCAGCACACACCGTGCCAGAAAGGAACATGGATCATCACTCGTGAGTGCCAAGAGTTTTCCGGTTCACGAAGTGCTTCCCCATCCAAGACTCCTAGGGGTGCTGCCGTGAGCTGCTGAGATGTGACAAGGCAAAGAGACACTGAGGGTGTGTGTGTGTGCGTGACAAGTGAGTCTGGAAGGTCACAGCCATGCTTGCCCCTTTGCCAGGGAAGGTCACTGGAGACTGTTTTAGGAAAGTGGATTCCATGTTCAGTGCTTCTAAGACAATCTAGGTATAAAAGTCAGGAGACTCAGTCACGGGTGATTTCCATTCTCCCCAGAATTCAAGAAAGGACGTCACTTATGAGGCCTATTTTAATATCTGCATATTCCTCCCCACCTCCACCCCGCCCTCAAGCCAAAATACCAGGTTTCAGGGATGACAACTGTTTGGTTCACACCATCAAGTATTTCAGGAAACTCACTTCCTCGCTGCTCAGTAAAGATCTTTAAGAATAAAAACACCTAATATTGGCTGTGTTTTCATGGGAATAAACATTGCTCTAAGCACTTGAGGAACAGAATTTCTTTGCCCCACTACAGCAACCCTATGTGGCAGATCCTATTCGTATCCCCATATTACAGATGAGGAAATGGACAGAAAAGTTAACAAGGAGAAGCTGAGCAACTCTCCTGCCAAGTGGCGGAGTCAGGGTTCCACATGCAGGCAACTCAGCGCTGCCTCTAAACCACGACTGGCTACCTCTGACCTGTAGCCTCTAGGGTTGTTCTGCTTCTCAGAAGCAAAACTGAAGGACGAAAGGTGTGGACTCAGGAGGTTCACAGTCCAACCCTAAGCAGAAATTATTATTATTCTTTATTTTGTTTTTTGAGTTGGAGTCTCACTGTCGCCCAGACTGGAGTGCAGTGGCCGCTCCCGGCCACCGCAGCCTCGACCTGCTGGGCTCCGGCGATCCTTCCACCTCAGCCTTCCAAGTAGCTGGAACTACAGGTGTGCGCTACAACGCCCGGCTGATTTTTTAATTTATTGTAGAGATGAGATCTCGCCAAGTTGCCCCGGCGGGACTCGAACCCGCAGGCTCAGGCAATCCACTCAACTCGGCCTCCCAAAGTGCTGGGATTACAGGCTGAGCCACCGAGCACGGCCGTAATATTGTTATTATTATTTTCTGTCACCCAGGCTGGAGTGCCGAGGCACGATCACAGCTCACCACAACCTCTCAGGTAGCAGGGACCACAGGCCCGACCACCACATCCCACTAGTTTTTGATGTTTTGTAGATGAGGCCCCGCTATGTTGCCTAGGCTGGTCCCAAACTGCTGAGTTCAAGCATCCCTCCTGCCTCAGCCTCCCAAAGTGCTGGGATTACAGGCATGAGTCACTGCACCTGGCCTATCGCTGTTATTTTTATGATGGGGTCTCACTTTGTTGTCCAGGCTAGATTCTAACTCCTGGGCTCCAGTGATCCCCTCCCGCCTCAGCCGCCAAAGTGGTTAGGACCACAGGCCTGGACAAACCGATTTTTAAAGCAGGAAAGAGCCCAAACAGCCAAGAGTTCTGATCTCTTTTATTGTTCAGATGAGGGGACTGAAGCCTAGGGAGGAAACAGGGCAATGACAGCCAGGGAAAGTCTCTTTCCTTGGTGTCTGGGATCCCTCTCATTCCTACAAGCCCCCTGTGCCAACCCCTCCTCCACCACAGGGACTCATTAGGCTGCCCTGATGTGGCCCTCCTGTGCTGGGTGGGCGGGGTGGGGTTCTGGTTGAGCTACAGTGGGTTGTGTTCTGGGGAGATCCCCCAGGGGACTGCAGGAGGGCAGGGGTCTGCCACACAGCAGGGAGTCTCTCCTGTCTCACTGGGGGGAGGGAGCCCAACGGCTTTGCAAGCACTGAGAGCAGGGACCAATCCCCTCCCAGGGGCTGCCTCACGGCTGGGGAGGGCTGTGGGGTGGGGGGGCTGGGATCAGGCGCCAGACAAAGAACCACCTGCTCTCCTCCTCTCCCTCCCCCTCCAGGGCTCCCTGCTGTTGTCCTAGTGACAGGGGCTGCCCAGTGGCTCCTCAAGCCCCCACCCCCCACCAGGGCCTGCCCCAAGCACAGTAAAGCTCCAGACTGCAGAGAACAAGCTGGAATCGGGCCGAGCCTGGGTTCTCTGCCAAAACTCTACCTTTCATGGCAGGGGCAGACAGGCCAGACAATAGGGGGTCACTGCTACCCTAATAATGAGGCCTCAGGGATGCCCAGAGGATGACTGAGCGGGGGGAGAGGCAGGGATGGGCAGCTGCCTGGGCGCCATGAATACACACAGGACACCTTTTGACCAACACCTGGGAAGATGAGGGCATGGGGACAGGCTGACAGAGGGCACGGGGCACAAGAGTCAGGGGAGACACACACGGAGAGAGGAGAGAGCAAGAGAGAGTATGTGCTCAGAAGGCGGGAGCGAAGTGGGTCCCACTGCCCTAAAAGGAAGCTGAGAGCTCCCAAAGGAGGCTGCACCCCCCACTCAGGGCAGCAAGGAACAAGGCACATCCCATTCTTGTCTCAGCCCCTGAGCATGGTTTGTGTGATTTAGGGTAGAACGACTCGAGCCAGGAGTGCTCATCTATATAAAGCGGGCCAGCTTCCTCTGGGGCTGTGGTGGGCTGAAGCAAATGCAGGGCAGAAGCTCAGCAGGGCCGTGGGGCCCCGTGACCAGATTCGCTTGCTGCAAAGCTGGGAGCACACCTCTGCCATGGCGGTGTGGCCGACCCTCTCTGGGCACGCATCGTATCCTCTGGCCTCCCGTGATGTCTGCTAAGGGAGATGAGATCACACTAGCACCGTGGTTTGGAGCTTTCAGGAAAACTAGCCCTGTAAATGCAATTTCCTTGTTAATGATGTGCTGAAGGCCCCGGAGTTCCCCTGTCCCCCAGGAACTCGTGTCCTGGATTTGCCCACTTTGGCAGTGGGATGAGGTCTAGGCTGGGTGGGCTCGAGGCATGGGCGATCTGGGAGTGGTCAAGAGCAGCTGGAGGAATGAGGGCTGTGAATGGGCCACAGGGGCCTGCGGGGAGCCAGGAGGCAGGGAGCATCCTGAAAGCTGCCCCCAGAAGAGGGCTCAGCGCAGTGGGGGAGGGGCGGCCAAGTCCACATGCAGCCCGCCTGGACGCTGGCAGTGGAGGGCTTTCTCACACAGTGAGGAATGGCCCGCCCACCTGCCTTGGCCTTCTAATCGCACCAGTACCCAGCCCTCTGGCCCCTAATCCTCTAGTTCACCAGCTCTCCCCAGCCTGAAGCCTCACACATACTCTGCCATCTCCCACTTCCCAACTCTCATATCCTAAGCCCCTTCCTGGGGACTTAGCGCCCCTCCCAGGCTGGGGAAATGACCCATCTAGGGCTCCTTCCTTCTCTCTGGGGCAAGGGTGAGGGAGAACTCCAGAAGGACCCCGTATCCCCAGCTGCTGTGCCATTTACCCTGCCTTAGTTTCTCCATCAATTAAGTAGGAACTCTCTCAGGAAGATGTAAGGGGTCCATACCCACGCCTGTGCATATAAGGGTGCCCTATGCCAAATGGGGCGAGGGAAAGAGACATCTACAACACAGACAGCCCACAGGGACAACAGCTGATGTTCTCTTCTGAATCTTCAAGCAGACAAGGGGCTGATGGGAAATTTGAGATCAGGATGGGTGACTCCACACTGGAGGGGTGAGGAGGGGCTGGGACTATTTGGGTCTGTGCTGTCAGAGGGACCTGGTGACACTGGTACAGGGGACAGCAGGTCAGGGAATCATAAATTATGGTCCAGGAGAACCAGAGGGAAACTCAGAGGTTTTCAAACTGCACTGCAGAGTTCTAGGGGCTGTGGGGCCTCCCGAGTCCAGGGATGGTGGGAGGGGACCACTCAGCAGCTCCACTCTGAGCTAGGTTAGGACTGGCCTTCCACACGACTACACGTATCATGTTGGACAACAACACAGAGCTGTATGTGCAAA